ACGTTAAAGATCCCTTGGTGGTCTAAAATCGATAAGAGTAGGCTTCGGCCGCCACCCGGGCAAAATTCAAAATTTCCTACCAACTGAAAATATTAGGAGTGTCCCGCGCGCTCATATGACCTATGCAGTTGCGAGCGCCGTAAAACATTTTACAAAAAAAAATATATATATATTTTGAAACCAAAATCCTGCAGATATTGATAAAGACTGGTCTGCTTTTTCCATTTTCTTTTTTATAATTCGTTTTTCAGAAAATGTATTTTTTGGGTGCTTTTTTGGATCTTCTTTCTTTCCTTCTTTCTTTCTTTCTTTTACTTGTGGGTACTTTGAGGGTGCCCGTTGTGGGCCCTACTTCCTTGCTGTCCTTCAGTTGTTTTCTTTTTGTCAGTTTGTTCTGCGTTTTCTTTTGCACTGAATGATTGCCACAATCAGTCATGTCAGCCAGATTCTCTTAGTCCACGACAAACGCAAGCATCTCCAGTTTTTTTTTCTTCTTTCCTTTCTGTTGTCTTTTATTTTTAAAAAAAAATCATGTTATACTTAAGTCAGACCTGCAGGTGGAAACTTTCTACCAACCCGTACTTCTTTGCGATTTACTGTTGCCTCTGTCCGACTTCCCTTTTTTCCCCCATGCAAAGTGACCATTATCATAATGATATCCTTCTCTTTCGCTTGTCAACTCACCAACACGCACACACACACACGCACACACATCAATATTATTTTAATAGAAAACAACCAGAAACAACCACCAGCAACCTCCCCCTGAAAACAAAGCAAAATTGAAGAATGAAATAAAGCGAAAACGCAAAACCCTACTCCTGTGATTATCATTTTTCCCCCCTTTATTTTTTATTTTTTATTTTTGTGTCAAGCCGGCTCTTTCAAAAGACACCACCTGTTTAGAAAAACGAGATGAGCTTTATTTGATAACGTTAATTGCCTTTTTTAAAGATTTACACGTAGTTGTTTTTTAAAAATTTTGTTTTGTTTTGTTCTTTACCATGCGATGATCATGATCTGACGGTGACTCCTCTCCATCAATCCCCAGCTGGGCCATCCTGTTCTCCCACCCGGCTGACTACACCCCGGTCTGCACCACAGAGTTGGCCCGCGTGGTCACACTGGCTCCGGAGTTTGAGAAGCGCGGTGTCAAGCTGATTGCCCTGTCTTGTGACGGTGTCGATAGCCACGTTGGATGGGGAAAGGTATGTGTTTTTTTAACAGAAATTTTGTAGTCCCATTATTACAGAATATTTTGTTTTAGTGGAGGTTTTACGGCGCTTGCAACTGCATAAGGTCGATTAAACGCCAAGGGGTGGATGTCATCAGAGAAGTCCGTACAGAGAATCAGATTTACTCTGCTCACCTCTCTAGCTTCAACAGCACAAAGTCTGCTTCGACTATCGAAGCACCCCGGAAACATGTTAATGTCCCCCCTTTGGGAATGGCTTAAAGACACTTCAGTAAGTAGCACTGTCCCGGGTGGTATTTTATTACAGAATAGAACTGGTTTGAAAAATATGGCAGCATTTTCCTCCTGTCATATATATTTATAGTGTCTTATTCTTACTAGTCTTTCTTTTTGGCTTCAAACTTTAGCTTCATCAGGTTTAAGTGTAAACCTTTTTTAAAAAATTTTTGTGGGTAGAGATTGATGTAATGAAATGAAGGGGGAAAAAAAGAGGATCTCCTCTGACCTAAACAATAGAACTTGAAAAGACAGCAGTTAAGTAACACAGAGGCATTCCCTTTCTCCCAGGATGTGATGACCTTTGCCGGAGGCAAACAGGATGATCTTCCCTACCCGATCATTGCTGACGAGGAACGTAAGTTGGCTGTGGAACTTGGCATGATAGACCCTGACGAGCGCACCAAAGAAGGCCTGCCACTGACCGCCCGTGCTGTTTTCATCATCGGTCCAGACAAAAAGCTCAAGCTATCCCTCCTCTACCCGGCCACAACCGGACGTAATTTCAAGTAAGTTGCCCAGTGGTGAAGAATCTTCTAGAAAATTTAATGGTCAAGAGACAACCTTAACTTAAGTAAAATGGATAGAGGTAATACAATTTAAAGTAAGTTGAGGGGCTTTGTTTTTACTACGTGTAAGTTTCTTTTTTGATCAGCTGAGACATAAGTCTAACTTTACTCAGTTTCTCACTGCTGTCAAGGCTGTGGCTATGATGCAACTTTTAGTAAGTTGATTAGCTGTTATACCACTTTAAGTAAGTGTCTAAGTCAAAGCACTTCTTATGGTAAGTTAGCTGACAGCCACAACAAACCATATTTAGGCAGATAAGACCTCCACTTTAGGAATTAGCAAGGCACTGCTAGATCTTCGGTGAGTTGTTGCTCTGTGATCATTACAAGCTTTTTGCTATTATTTCATTTGCTTTTCTCTCTTTATCTGTGGTAGCTTGCTCTGTTTAGCTCGCAAGGTCTATATAATTATTTTCTTTCTCCGTGGATGTTATAGGTCATCATAAGTTCACAATAGATTGACTATTATCCTTATTATTACATGTACTAATGTCTTCTTTCTACTTTGTCTTTTTTCTTTTCAAACTACTGGGCCAAGTTTTTTGGAAACTACTCATCTGTTTCTGTTTGAGTATATTATAGTATAGGGATACTCAGGCACTTTATGTGATATCATCATTCACTTAGCACTGGGAAAGAACAGAAATGAAAAAAAAAGTATGAAAAAAATAGGACCCACTGGTTTTATTGTCCAACACCAACCTCCCGTTTTTGTGTGTCCGGGATAGCGTTACGCTTGGACAATGCCAGGTAAGAACTTTACCTTATTGTCTTTTCCTTCTCTCCACATCTTTTCCAGCGAGATTCTGCGTGTGGTCGACTCTCTCCAGCTGACAGCCACCCAGAAAGTGGCCACACCGGTGGACTGGGAGAAGGGCCAGAAGTGCATGGTGCTCCCTACAATCCCCATGGAAGAAGCTCGGAAGCTCTTCCCTAACATGGAGGTGCGAGACGTGCCATCGGGCAAAGGCTACCTTCGCTTCACACCAATGTCATGAGCAGAGCTGTGGCGTCCCGTTTGTCTGTACACGGAGCCAAGCAATGACTTTGTTGTGAATGTTTTGCTGTTACCTTGTTGATTGTTGCTGTTGAGCCATGCTTTCCCTGATACTTTTTTTCCTAAGACGCGCTCTACGCATTGTTCCAATACGCCCTGTTCTTATGGTTGCACACTTTTGCAGTTTGTTTTGAACTATGCAGGGAATTGAATAAAATTAGAAAATAGTCAGGTCCCTTTGGGAATACTTCTCTGTTACCGTTTTATTTCATTGTTCAGAATCAGAACATGTGATGCCAAAATTGTGTATTGTTTTCTTGAAATATATCTTTGTTCACTTATTTGTTAAATCACATTGAATAGCATTACCTTTGGCTTTTGTGTGCTGTTTGCTTTGTAGCACGACTTGTTTGTTATCACTGTCTGTTGTTTTTTTTAATTTTAGGGAAGATGGCTTAGAGGCTGTGAGAGAAATATTTTTCTAGCATTATTTTTTTCTAAATCGTCTTCGCGTTGACTATGAAGAAACATTCCAAACTGAAGTGTAAGTTCTTATGTCATTTGAGAAAGTCATCATGTATTGATAACAATTTTTTCATCATGTTGCAAAATTAACTTACAGACCTGGCTGTTTGGAGACAACTACAGTAAGCGCTGTCTTTCTTTTAAAAGAATGAACATGTTCAAAGAAGGATATATAACCTTTCAATATTTTATTTTTACGACATTTCCTGCTGTATCAAGCCTTCGTTTTGTGCTCTTGAAACAGTTCAAGTTTATATGTTATTATTACATTAAAGATAATATTTTGGACTAAAATAAAGTGTGTATTTGTTTTTTCTTTTAAACTTTTTAGAAGTTTTTGTTAATAGTAAAAAGACTTTTTTCTTCTTTTCCTGAAGATCGTCAGTTTGTAGGTCGTGTAGTCTACTTTTTTATTGTCTGACTACTTAAACTTTTATACAGTGGAATCCTGATATAACGAGAGGGAGTGGACCGGAGCAAAATGTCCGTTATAGCAGGATTCTCGATATAAGTATAAGGGATTCAGTAATAAATTCAAGGGAAACTGTAAAATAGGTCTAATCTATGAGTTTGGTGTTCTGTCTATTTCCTTTAGCTATCCCCCCTGATGATGATTTTGTTTCAACATGACCTCTAGGTCTTATTTGATCAAAAATCGAATCAGGTTTCTTTCTCTAGCGCTAGATCTAGCAATGTGGACTGATAGCTCGGTGTTGGCCATCAGAAAGAAAAGGCTCTGGGCTGACTCGTCCGCTGTGTTTTCCCCACCCCACCCTGTGGTGCATTCTGTCTGCTTGAGCACATCACACATTCACTCCATCCATCACATTGCTGTGACCTCTCCATCCCCACATCGGAGAAGTGAAAGGCATGGTAGGCCTTGATAATCTAAACTAGGCTTACGCTGGCCTATCACGCGATGCGTTCTGCTTGTCTGCGCATTCACACCCTCCCTACTCGGTTGCTCCGGCCTTCATTGTTGACGCACATGGGCTCTCCTACCCTTTATTTCGCAAGATCACCAAGTTTCTCAACTGGCGAGGTTTTGCATTTATGTATAATTGGCCTATGCACTGTGCACAGCAGCAGCTATATTTCGGTATAACCGACTCGCATGTTTGTCTGATAGCGCTATAGCCGTATTTTATTTACAAAGTTAAAGATGAGAAAAAACGGGGCTTGAGAATAGTGTCTTTATAACAGACTTCTCGTTTTTTCCGGACTCGTTATAAGTGGACTCCACTGTACTGTTGTTTGTTGGTCTGTATAAACCAGCCCAGATTAGATCTGTCAAAGGAATTGATTGAGGACATTGATCAGTCAACACAACACACCTAATGTTTGGTGTGTTGAAATACTCAAAACACTCTCAGGGGGCTCTCGAAGTCTAGAGGTTATGGTGTTTGCCTCTCATTCAAGAGATCCTGGATTCGAAAAATCCAACGAAAATTTTCTTCTCTAAAATTTTCTCCTTTCACCTCGCCTCCTTTTCTGCTCTCTAGCCATGTTCTGTCGTCTGCCTTTGTCTCCACTTTCTGCCCCCAAACCCCTTTGCCTCTTCCTCTGGGCTTCTGCAGCCTTTCTACTGCTACTACTACATGTACTTGGCTCCTTCTTATTGCTGTCTTTCAGCCACACCCCTGATCCCTCCAGTCTGTGGTAGACTCATTGGAAGAATCAAACCAACAACAAACTTCACAACATTTAGCCTAAACTAAACTGGGTCCACAAAAACCTTCGGGCCTCTCCAGAAGAGACGAAGTCATTTTTACTCGATTACGCATCGGATACACATCCCTGACACATAAATGCCCCCTTCAGGGAGATGAGAAGCCGGATTTTACCATTAGACATATTTTAACAGAATGTCTTGACTTTGGAGAGGCCCGAAGGAAATATTTTAATTGCAAGATGTTTTTCGTCGTTGATCGAGACAGAATCCTTGATTTTATAAAGGCCATTGGCCTTTACGGAAAATTGTAAATAGTTATATTGATTTTAAACAGATTATCCTTTTTAGATTGTTATTTTAACATTTTAAAATCTGATCGTTGATCCGAGCCAAGCCGTGCAGTGAGCTGTTGTGAATGAAGCCAACTTAGTGTTTCGCGCACTCATATGACCGTATCCAGTTGCGAGCGCTGTAAAACTCTTACTAAAACAGTAAAACAAACACCCCTGATCTTATGGTAGGAAAGATCTAACACCTAGCCTTCCTGGATAAGGGGGAAAAATTATGGAGGTCTCGTGTGGAAGTTGCGCATGTTAAAGATTCCTTGGTGGTTCTAAAATAGATTAAAGTAGACTCCGACCGCCACCCAGGCCAAATTCAAAATTTCTACCAAACTGAAAATATCAAATGTGTCCGGCGAACTCTTACTCTTATGACCTTATGCAGTTGCAAGTGCCGTAAAACACCAAAAAAAAACCCAACAGACAAACAAAAATCCCTCTCAGTGCCCACCAGCTGAGTGTACTCTTTCATCATTCACAACTAAAAACGGAATAGATTCCATGAAGCTACCATGAAACAGCTTCTGTAATGATCAAATGTTGGCCTGCATGTGTTAAATTTACTTTGCTGTATCGGCTCAGCTTTCTTTCCCTCCTCTATCTTCTGGAACAAGTGTGTGTTTAGAAATACGAAAGTAGATCTTCAGGGATTTTTAGAAATGTTTTTGAACGTTTAGTGGAGTGCCAGACTTGTATGTAAATGAAAGCTGCCCATTTTTCAGCTAAGTGTCTTCTTTTGGTCAATAGATGCTCCTGATTTTAAAGAAAACACCCAACCATGCTAACTCAAACTGCCTCCAGATTCACTCAGATATTGCTACAGATTTCAATAAAAGTTAAGGACCACCTTGACAGAGAGTCCTGATTTTTTATAAAATCTGAAAAAGACAGCAAGGAATTTTTCAAAATTTTTGCTCTGAAAGTGTTAATGGGTTACCAACGCGAATAGCAAACCTCCAGGAGGACCAAAACCCCCACGTGCAGCACGGAAATCCTCGGGAAATTTTAGCTCCAATTTGCTGGTTTTTTTTATCGATTTGTGTGCGACACCACGGACATTCCTCAGTTAAAATTTCTGGTGCACGTCATAAACTGATGTACTGGCAATATAAGCCGCCGTTTGCGCAAAATCCAGTATCGCATCAACGTACCACCAAGACGAAAGCTGAGAGACTTTGATCGCGCCAGAGCTATGGCATGGCTGCAGGATGGAGTTGGAGTCCGAGAAGTTTCCAGAAGGCTTGCCGTTTCCCACTCTGTCCGCCTGAGGCAGCCACTGGATCAGTCCAAGAACGTTCACGTTCTGGGCGACCCAAGAAGACCACTCAAAGTGTTTGAAAAGTGGTCCCTAACTTATGTTGAAGTCTGTATAAAGTTTGCTAACAAACTTGACCAACTAGTGGAAGCAGGGCAGTTCATCTTCTGTCATTTCGGTGTCCTTCGACCTTCAATGGGGGCAGAGCTCGCGATAAGTGTGGTGTCAATTTTACAAGTGATAGAAGCGTGACATTTGTTCATTGTTCATCATACTAGATCATGTTATGGACAAGCCTGGTTTGAAGCCCAGATGATCATGAAGCATTCTTGACTTGAGCGTGAGGTTTCTTTCTTTCTTTTCTTTTCTTTTTTTTTTTATTACATATTTTTAAAAAGTTCTCCACCCATTTGACTCGTGTCAAAAGGCAGAAGTTGAATCTGTTCGGAGGTACCACCTATAAAACCGTTGTACATGTAGTGTGATAAAAGGACTACGGTGTGTTTGCTCATTGCTTGCTCGGCCTGTTTAACAGGTAGTTCTGGAACGTGCATTGTTTGGGAGTATGATAAACTTTCCACATTACGGGTGCAGTCCAAGTGGTGTTTGAAATTAGATGAAAGTCCCTATTTTCGTGATATAACTCATCTTTTCCAACTGGCTACCACCTATTGCTACTATTAGAAATCGGACAAAGTGTATGTTGTGTCTGCTACTGCTATGAAAGGCAAGCGCTGCACTCTACACCAAGTTGTCCCTAAACTTGACAAACATGCAACCCCTTTTACTATATTTCATTACCCGGCAGTACGAGAATAACATCCCTGATGAATATTGCTAGATTACGCAGTCTGGACATAGTACCGGTACACGTACCACGAAAAGAATATTCAACTTGAATTCAGCTGAGCTTCTTAAAATGTTTGCAAATAATCAGGGCATGCAACTGCAAAAAGAAAAATGCTAGAGAGTCTTGGACCAGCCCACCGGATCGCATGCAGCCCGACACACACCTCGTGCAAACGATAAATGCTGAGTACCCTCAGGGAAATCGAATCAGAAAAGCAACTTACAACAACTTTATTTGGGTGCCAAGATACACTCCTCATATGGACTACAAAGCAAAGTAGTTCAAACAATAACAATGATAACATTTGTGGAACCACATTCAGATACTGATAAAAATCTCATAACAATTTTTTTTACAATAAGTCTAAAGTGAAAATTTAAAATGAAAGCTTTCGCTGCAGCTAAGCCCCCAGAGCTGAACATCCAAACACTAAGTTTTCTTTTCAATTATAATAAACAAACTAATAATATACTGGCGAGCAAAAGAAAGTGGGCAGTTTTCACATTGGTGCTGTATGAGTAGTCTCGCGAATTTTGACTTGGAGATTGACA